GGGGGGGGGTGTTGACTTTTCCAGGCAGTGCTTGAGGGTAGATTGATAGCGAACACGTGACTCAGCACAGTGAGAGCATAAAGAAGCAGAAACACTGCACACTCTTTGCTGAAGGGGAGAACATTCTTATTTTCTCTACATCTCCTTCTACATTTTTTTGTCCAGTAGTGTTTTGCAGCTCATGTAAAGCATGTTTGAGCCTGAGCAGTCCTAGCAGACACATTTGAACTTGATGCTCGATTCATACTCTTGGCAACAACTTCACAAAAAAGGAAAGAACTGGAACTAAATTACCGCCTCACGTTTGTATGCCTTATCACCACACTGACTTGTATGATTTCAGTGAATTTCCAGGGAGAACCAAGCTGTCTTCACTTCAGTGTAGTAAATATTTTTTTGCAAGGACCCACGCCTGGCACATAGGGCACCAGCTCTGCCAGGTGAGCTACCAGGGCACATCTTCAACCTGGCAAGACACAAGATATGGCCACAATCTCCCCTTTCTGAGTTCTGAGTTGAATAATGTGTTAACCAGTGTTTTTTCAGAACATTATAATGTCACAGTGAAGTTGACCTTGTCAGCACTTCATTGTTATTTTTTTGTGGCTGTTTTGGCCTTCTTTTGGTTGTACGGTTTAAAACTAACAGGAAAGGGGGAGAGAAAGGGGCAAAGGGCCAGTGCGGTAAGGGTACAGCGTTGGTACAGCGGGGCCTCTGCTCTATCAGGTGAGCTACTAGAGCTTCTCATCACTTCATCATTTTGTCCTATTAGACGTTTGTGTGAAATCTTGTCATAACTGGCATATTCACTCTTGAGTTGTGGCCTTTGACCACCAAATTCTAAACCCTGGAGTCCAAGTGGACGTTTGTGCCAGATATAATGAAATTCCCTCCAAGTATTCCTGAGATATCACGTTCACAAGAATGGGATGGATGGATGAACAACCCGAAAACATAATGGTTGCGGCAGATAAACTCAATGTCCTCAATCCAACAACCACGCAGAACTCATGCACACAGCACATGTTCATATCAATGTTTGGCTTTAGAAACCACCTTTATCCTGACCTCATCAGTTAAGATGAATGATGTAATACTAATGTCTTGTTTCATTTAGATCCCTTTTTTCACCAAAGGAGGCTTACGCCACACTTGGCCCATGCTAAGTTCCAAAAATGCATCAGCATTGCCAGGAGGCAACGCGAGCTATAATGTCTCAGAGTTAGGTTTATTTCAAGCTGATCACATCACAACCTATTGGTATAGTCTACAATCAAAAAAGGGATGTTAGACTGCTGCGTGAAGGAGATCCCAGAAAGCTGCTGAACCGATGTAAAAGGTGGTGACCCTGATGATTGGCTATTGGGAAGAGAGAAAGACTGAGCTGGCCAATGACGGCCTCTCTCAGCACTGAGCCAAGAGTAGGCCTCCAGATGTTGCTCTCATATTTTCCTTCAACTCCAACAGGCTGTGGCTGTAAAAATAACACAGGGCAAACAGCCACCGTGGCCTTTCCTGCCACTCCACTGGGGGATTAGATGGCAAGCAAAGCACGGACGGACACTGACCATGTCCCTTAAGTGTGTAGTATTTTTACTTATTTTTCTTTTTGGGTATGACGCAGTCTTACCATTAGTAAGTGAAACTGGAAACTTCAACCACAGGAAACGTATGTGTGATAATGTTGGTAAATAGGCTTAAAATTGTCTTTTGGAATTGATTTAAAGGAAGTAATACACACCTGCACACTGCAGTTGGACTGGTGTTCATTTCAAGTCTTGATACGACATGCTAGTGAAACAAACGTAGAGGGAATCTTACCTGACACCAGAATGTCATTGCGGAGGGCGCAGACAGCATACTCTGATTTGGTGAACTCAGGTAGTTTGGCCAGTGATTTCCACTCTCCTGTCACTGGATCATAGCATTCAGTGTAGGGAAGGTTGAAGCCCCCTATTCTCTCACAACCCCCCACCACCACAATCACCTCAGAGAAGCCAGTCGACCTGCACAGAAGGAAGGAGGCATGGTAAGGCAGCGGGAAAGATGTGGAAAATAAGAA